ATGTTGTCCTGTGTCCTCTGGTCTCTATTTTAGGAAGGGTTTTCGTTGTTATATTTTCATAGCTCTATGTGCTTTTGGGAGGAGATTTCCACTGCTCTACTCACGCCGCCATCCTGGCTCCGCCCAGTAGTGTTTTTTTCTGCTTCTGTTTTTTGTGTTTTGTCCTTAATCCAAGAACCTATATAGGCTTCAGAATTCTCTTTCTGGCTTTTCAAGTCCTCTTCAGTATAGTTCTGTCTGTTCAGCTATCCTTGACTCTCTCATCAGTAGTATATCTTTCTGCTTTCTCCCTTTAATGTCCTTGCCACTTTTTTCTCCATTTACTTATTTAATGGTCTGTCATTTTTCAAGGTCAAATTCTACCACCTAAAGTCTCTTCCACTTTGTAAGCCCGCACTGAACTCTTATTTGACTTAACCTCATCAGTATTGGATTTCAGTAGGTTTTCAGTATATTTTATCTACTCAACTAGTTCATGGGCTCAGTGTAAAAGCCAAGAGAAATAGTGTTGAATCCAGTGCTGTAGCTGCTAAGATACTTAAAAAATTTTTAGAGTTATTGAATCAATATTATAAATCACTATTGATAGTTTCACTGTGATAATTATTTTGGTCTTACTCAGTTCACCTATTAAAACAGCTTACCAGGAAAACCCAGTGTGATAGGTATTAGAAGACCAATTTACAAATAAACAATTAAAACTGACAATAAGATCACTAATGACTTTAGAGTAGGCATGGGAATTTAAGTAGCAGAAACAACATTTTCTCCATTCAGATTTTAGCAATTAAGTGAAGAAGAGAACATGGGAAAGTTATAAATTGCAGCTTAGGTCTAGGGGAAATGCTTTGTAGAAAGAGAAGAATGAGCATGTTTAGAAGTGGTGGCTGAGAGAGACCAGTGGAAGGGGAAAAGAATGCATATGGCAGAAAGGAGATACTCAAGGTAAAGAAGTTAAGAATTGATGATGATATGGGTTAAGGGTTAAGTACAGAGAAGAGAGATTCAAGCACCCTTACCCATACCTAATGGACTTTATTTTCTACAGAAAGCATGGGGCATGCCCTGGAAGTAGGGAGTACACCAGCAGGACAAGAAACTTAATTGAGGAAGGAAAACTAAAGGAAAATGAACAAGGCATAATGGAAAAAGAAAGTCCAGTCTAAAGACATAGGCAAGATGGAAGCCGTAAATATGTACTTCTGTCAGTTGACATGTCTGTGGTTCTACTACAGCTGTACTTGGTATCCCCATAAAAGGGTTTATTTATTACTCAGGACCCAGGTGGGTAAGGAAGGGAATGTATTCAAACCCAGAACTTTTATATGATGTGTTTTAAGCACAAAATCATAGCTAAGTTAAAGTTAGTAAGTAAGATTGAAGAGAGGTTTAGGATGAGTAAGAGATAGGTAGAGGTATTAGAGATTTTGATCAGAAAGTGTGATTTCGTTAGTTTAAGTGCTAGGTAGTTCATAACAGTCGCATAAAACATCCTGGAAAGTGCGAACAGACACTTTGTTAAAGTCTTATCTTTCCCTGTGGAACTTACAGTTCTTGTTAAGTAGCAGTATAAGATTTTTGAAAAGTAGTTTTCTGTGGACAGTTTCAAGTTCTCAATTTGAGACTGAGTCAGATGTATTGAAGATGTTATTTGAAAAGGAGATGCTATCTCATGTTACTATTGATGAACTCTTAATTCTTACATTCAGAACGGTTACTAACAATGTAGCTAGCTGAGTTTATGGATTCCTACTGGTTGTAGCTGTACTGTAAGATTTTGTTTCTTAATTATGTTTATTGTAAAAAACATTTAATGTAAAATTTACCATCTTAACTGCTTTTAAGTATGCAGTAGAGTTAAGTATGTATACTTTGTTGTAAAACTTATCTCCAGGATGTATTCACCTTGCAAAGAGGTTAAATAACACCTCTCCCCACCCCGCCCCCAGCCCCTGGTAACCACCTTCTGTCTCTGTGAATCTGACTACTCTAGGTACTTGATACTTGTGGAGTCATACATGATGTATCTTTTTATTTTATTTTAATTTTATTTTGTATTTTGGTATCATTAATCTACAATTACATAAGGAACATTGTGTTTACTAGACTTCCCCCATCACCAAACATTATGTATCTTTTTATGATGACCGGCTTACTTCACTTAGCGTAATGTCCTCAAGGTTCATCCATGTTGTAACATGTGACAGTATCTCTTTCTTTTTTAAGGCTGAATAATAATTCCATTGTGTGTGTATACCATATTTTGTTTTTGTTTATCCATTCATTTGACAATGGATATTTGGGTTGCTTTGTATCTCTTGGCTACTCTGAGTAATGCTGAGGTGCACATGGGTGTGCAAATTAATTTCTTCAAGACCCTGCTTTCATTTCTTTTAAATACATACCTGGAAGTGGGGCTGCTAGATGATTGCTGAACTATTCTTTTTTTTTAAAAAATTTTTTTGAGGACTCTCCATACTGTTTTACACAGAAGTTACACTATTTCACTAGTTCATCTTTTAATGTAAAAATGATTGGAAATGTGGGATGTGCTTTGTTTAGTTCCATCTTTTTAGAAAGATTTCTTTTTAACAGCAACATTTCCTTTGGTTGTAGTTTTGATGTTGAGAATAGTAGTTATTATCGTGATTGAAAGTAGAGTGACTGTGCAGAAAGTTGGGAATATAAATATGGATGGACACCACTGCTGAAGACCTTTTTATATTTTTGTTTATTTTGCAGATTGGGAAAATGAGATATGTCAGTGTTCGGGACTTTAAAGGGAAAGTCCTAATTGATATTAGAGAATATTGGATGGATCCAGAAGGTGAAATGAAACCAGGAAGAAAAGGTGAGATATAATTTCCTGAATTTGGTCCTAATACTGGGACTAACTTAAAAATTATCTAAGTAACCTGCCTTATTTGAAATTGAACTAATGTTAGCAGTACATTGAGAAGATTCTCATTCAGTTGATTATCTTCTCTATTTGGATGTGACACTTATTTGAATGAGATGTGAGACGTCTTTAATATAGCTGTTGGAATAAAACCCAGAGAAAAATAATATCTTTAATATCACCTCCCCTGGCTGCTAATTTGCTTGAATGTAACTTTAAAAAACTTAATTTACATCAGTTCTTGAGTAGGCACTATCTGGAAAGTTGGAATGGAATGGAAATGGGATTTCCTTTTCTAGGAATAGAGAATCCTCGTTAACATTGTTTCCTTTTGGTTCATCTCCTAAAAGTTATTCTTTAGGGTGGTATCCTCTAAGTGGGTCCTTGTCCTCCTTCTGTTGTGCTTTGACAGTCTTAAGCCCGTCAGCATTGTAGAAGCATTCTTTATTCATTCACCAAATAGCTAGAGAGCATTTGTATAACAACATAAATTCATATATTTTGGGTTGATCCTTCTTAGCTAATGAAAAAATGCCTCCTTATTTTCTTCTTTCTTGTCTTGAAGTCATGACTCTGCCTGTGTGTCATTTTGAAAGGTACCACATGTTTGCCTCAGGCAATTTTCAGGTTCATTAAACTTAACCTCTCTGTCTTTATACCATTTAACATTTTCTTGTTCAGGTCACTTCTGGACTGGTCATTCAAGTTGTTCCATAGTGGCCAATGCCAGATTTCTTTGATTGTTGCTGCAAACGTTTACTAAAACAACTTGGTCAGCTGTAAAGCCCTTCCTAGGCATTGTCCCAGTACATTCTCCTCCTTCCTCTCAATTTCATGGCCACTCAGCAGTTTTTGGAGACATACAGGATTTCTTCCAGTTCTGGTTTATTTCTCTATATGGGTCAAGTATTAGAACATTAGAAGTTTAAAATACTGAGTGTTTTCGTGTTTTTACATCTTAAATAGTCATTAGCTAACATTTTAAGTGTTTACTTGTATGTTGGGTAATATGCTAAGCTGTTTATTCAAACTGGCCAATTTAATCATTTTTCATTGTATCACTTAATCATTTTCGTGAATCATTCAGTAATTATACTTTTGAGGTATAAGTACCTTTTTACTGGTGAGGAAACTGAGGGTTCAAGATAATACAATTTTTTAAGGTAGTACAGTTAGTGATAGAGTGATAGTGAGAGTAGGATTTGAACCCTGACAGTATGACACCAGAATGTATTTTTAACCAGTATGTACATTCTAAGAAGTCCTTTATGGATCATGACCCAGAGATTTTTTTCCAAAGTGAAATGAATGCTTCTAGAAGAATTCAAGACAGTCATTCATGTTGAGTTCCTTTGGAAATTTTGAGCAAATATTGGAACTAACTAGATGTGGAAATGGGGTGTTACGTACCAAATCAGCCTGGTCCCTGACCCTGCTGGTTTGCAGGCATTTGCGAGATACTTCTTCAAATCATCATTTGCTCTCTACCGGTATAATAGCCATTATGCAGGATACAGTGTTGGAAGTACAACTGGGCAAAAGATCTATCTGCTTAGATAATTGTGATGAATCTATAATTAACAAACTAAGAGATTTGATTTCAATATTGTACCATTGTGCCATTCAAAATGGAAATTTTGATAAAACCATTTTAGTTGAAAGTACAAATCTTCAAGAAAGCTTAAATACACTTTTCAACTTTTGATTTTTAAATCTTTTAGGTATTTCTTTAAATCCTGAACAATGGAGCCAGCTGAAGGAACAGATTTCTGACATCGATGATGCAGTAAGAAAACTGTAAAATCAGAGCCATATAAAACCTGTACTGTTCTTACTGTTTTAATGTCTTTTTACATTGGCTTTTGTTTTCTAAACCTTGTTTTCCAAGCTATTGTATATTTGGATTGCAGAACAATTTGTAAGATGAATACTTTTTTTTTTAATGTGCATTATTAAAAATGTTCTGAGTGAAGTTCTGAGTGAAGCTAATTGTAAACTTGATTAAGGAGGGTTGTTTTGTGCCCACCATCTAGTGTAAAATAAAATCAAGTAATACAGTCTCAACTGTTGTGGCCTTCTTTGATCAGAAGAAGTTGGTACTATTTAAGGCCAAAAGTAACAGTTTATAGACCTTTTTAGTTTCAGCTCAGCTTTTGACACTCAAAAGGATTTGTATTGCATTGAATTTGTAATCTTTTTTGAAATCCATAGTCGGTCTTTTTTTTTCCAACCCAAATGTCTGGACTTGTTTGGTTTTTCTACCCCAGTGATATTATACTTTCCCCTTTTTTTCTTTACTTCATTTTCCTTTATAACATATATTGTCACATTCTGTTTTCATTTCACTTTTTGCTCTTTTCTTTGGACAGATTATGCTAATTTGAAAAGTCAGTTGAAAGTTCAAAATGTTAGTTATCTCACTTAAGGTACTTGTATTCAAGACAGTCATTCATGTTGAGTTCCTTTGGAAATTTTGAGCAAATATTGGAACTAACTAGATGTGGAAATGGGGTGTTACGTACCAAATCAGCCTGGTCCCTGACCCTGCTGGTTTGCAGGCATTTGCGAGATACTTCTTCAAATCATCATTTGCTCTCTACCGGTATAATAGCCATTATGCAGGATACAGTGTTGGAAGTACAACTGGGCAAAAGATCTATCTGCTTAGATAATTGTGATGAATCTATAATTAACAAACTAAGAGATTTGATTTCAATATTGTACCATTGTGCCATTCAAAATGGAAATTTTGATAAAACCATTTTAGTTGAAAGTACAAATCTTCAAGAAAGCTTAAATACACTTTTCAACTTTTGATTTTTAAATCTTTTAGGTATTTCTTTAAATCCTGAACAATGGAGCCAGCTGAAGGAACAGATTTCTGACATCGATGATGCAGTAAGAAAACTGTAAAATCAGAGCCATATAAAACCTGTACTGTTCTTACTGTTTTAATGTCTTTTTACATTGGCTTTTGTTTTCTAAACCTTGTTTTCCAAGCTATTGTATATTTGGATTGCAGAACAATTTGTAAGATGAATACTTTTTTTTTTAATGTGCATTATTAAAAATGTTCTGAGTGAAGTTCTGAGTGAAGCTAATTGTAAACTTGATTAAGGAGGGTTGTTTTGTGCCCACCATCTAGTGTAAAATAAAATCAAGTAATACAGTCTCAACTGTTGTGGCCTTCTTTGATCAGAAGAAGTTGGTACTATTTAAGGCCAAAAGTAACAGTTTATAGACCTTTTTAGTTTCAGCTCAGCTTTTGACACTCAAAAGGATTTGTATTGCATTGAATTTGTAATCTTTTTTGAAATCCATAGTCGGTCTTTTTTTTTCCAACCCAAATGTCTGGACTTGTTTGGTTTTTCTACCCCAGTGATATTATACTTTCCCCTTTTTTTCTTTACTTCATTTTCCTTTATAACATATATTGTCACATTCTGTTTTCATTTCACTTTTTGCTCTTTTCTTTGGACAGATTATGCTAATTTGAAAAGTCAGTTGAAAGTTCAAAATGTTAGTTATCTCACTTAAGGTACTTGTAGTTAAAATATTATATGAGAATTAACAGTCACTAATTCTACTGTATTAAATATTAGGAGATAGAGTTTGAGAAACAACATGGCTTGTATGGACACTCTGAGCAGTAAGTGTATGTCGTTACCTGTAGTGTTCTGTGTAATTATTGCATAGTCTGCAGAAAATAATGACTTAGATATCTGATTTGCTTTCACTCACTAAACATGTTCACCATGGGGTAATGTTTATACAATCAGATATTGTTAAATTAGACTAGGATTTAATAAAAATTGTGAAAGCTTTCTTGGCCTAACATTTTATTTTATAACATTGAGTATGGATTATATGTAGCCAGAGATAATACCACAGAGCTTTACTGTCATAGTAGGTAATGTGGTCAGTTTTAGGAGAAAGAGCATAAAGAGCATACATATATTGTGTTTTGGCCTTTGCTTCAGTAGACTTGGTTCTTTTGTATTTAATCTGCTGGACAATGGCATTCTAGTCTTAATGTTGCTAGTTTTTAGCAGGCACTCTAAAGTGATTTTCACTGAAGCATAAGGAAGACGCAGACACATTGAGGCACAGATTTCAGGGGCTTTGCAGCAATAAATGGGGCATGGTGTGCCTTAGGAAAAGAATGTAAAGGAAAGGAATTGAAATTAAAGAAGGCGACAGTGAAGAGGAAGGAATTCTCTTCAAACTAAGTAACACATTTTGATCACATTGATGGGGAACAATTCTGGATAGAATAGTAAAAAGAAAGGTTGAAATACATATACAAAATTCTTACTGACAAATAATGTTTGGTAGCTAATCTCAGATGGTTACTGTCATATTAGAGGGGTGTACTATTATACCAATTTTGATTACTATGTCTAAAATGTTTTATAATAGAATTGTTAAGGACTTGATTTCAGAACTATAAGCCAGGCCACATACAGTTACCAGTTTTTTCCTGGAAGATATTCTAAGAATTTCTTACTTTTTTGGATGATTTTTTTTTTATAGTGTTTTTAGCAGTAGCCCTAATAGGTGCATAATTGGGGAAATATAGAAATCCTCTTTTCTGGTATTTAGCCTTCATCAAATAATAGGTATGAAAGTGTTCAAAATATGCATTTTAGACAAATTATACTTGATTGGTAACTTTCCCCTTATTTGGGAACATATATGTGTCCCCTTGACTTGGTAGATTTGTAAAGTGTTCCTTATTCTACATAAAGGGTAGTTAGAACTTTGATTTTGGTGGGGAAGAAGATAAGGTATAAATTTCCTAGGTTTATATGATTTTAGGGGCTGTATGCATTTTGAAACAATCTGCTAATACAGAGACGGTGCTGAAATCGATTACTAGGCATTTTCTACCTGTTCAGCATTATGTTGTTAAAACTGTCTTATAAGTGTTTCTCTGGCAGAATTCGGTAAGTTGACTGCTAAATTCATTTAAATGTATTACTGAATATGCAATATACAAAAATTATTAATTGTGTGTGTGTAGGAAAGGATAAGAACTAGGTTAAAAGAAGAGACCAAATAACTTGTACTGAAAAGGAAAGCTGGGGCACTTTTTCTGTTGAGGCTTGTCTTTCCTAGTAAGATTTCTTCCAGGAAGGAAGGTTGGCATTTGAGGCAGTAGTTTTTTACCTTGTAATGTTAAAGTGAATTTAATTAATGCCAGCCCTTGAATGTACTTAGTAGGAGGGCTTTTTTAATGGGTTTTTCCTCTTTGTCTTTTAAAATACAAGCAGCATTTGACCGATTTCCAATGCTCTTGGCATTTTAAGAACAACTACAAAAAAGAAAGTCTTTTAATTTGCTTATTCTCTTTTGCTTTGCTTCATAAATGCCTAAGAACTTCTTTTGAAGAATATTCCTACCTCATTAGCTAGTCAAGATGCTGTGATGATTAACATTCTATGTGATGTGTTTAGGAAAAGAGACTTAGGGAGAAAAACATACATCCTGGCTTGGCTATTGAGGGGAAAAGAGAGAATTGAGTATTATTTATTCCTGATAGAGGTATGTTAGATGAGTACTATAAAAGACGTTTTCTAAAAGTGCTGGCTAATATTTAGGTATCTCTCCTGAAATTCTTCACTGTTTACTTTTTATGGAAATATGGTGAAACACTCAAAAGTTCTTTTTTAAGTGGTTTTTCCAGATAAACTCTAGATGTAAACATTCACATAATCACAAACATGTAATTCTGTAATTGTGGAATACTGTATGTATTGTTTGATACATCTTCCATGGAGATGTCAGTGACTATAATACTCAATCTGTGAATATTTTAAATGTTGAAATAAAAGTAAGAAATGTACCCTATGTGTCATCCCAGTTTCACAAACCTGAAGATGAATGGCTAAGTTATCTGTTGAAAAGGTTCTATTAACAAATAGAATGCCTTTCTGTGTGAATGCTTTGGAGTGTAGGATTAACCTAGGTGAGTTAAATCTTCTGAGGACTTCTAGGACTGGGTGGCATGGGCCCATTTTTCCCATCTATCTGATCGAAATGCAAAAATGCAAATACTCAGGTGTACACAGCCTCCTTTTTCATTACCCTGCGAATGTTTTGTACTCTGATTATTCTTTGTTATACTTAACTGTATAATGGACTCTGAGTATTTCAAGCTTGTATTTTCATTTATAAAGTACTTTTCCCTTGATTGGTACTCTTTGAGATCTTCCATCATTTATTTCTGCCTAGGAAACTTACACAGGGTTAGAAAGATCCATGGAAGATTACTTACAACTAATACTTTGCTCCACCTGATCAACTGTAAATTGGCTTTTTAGTAAAACATACTCAGAAATACAGGCAAGAAAAAAAAATAGTATTTGTAATTCATATAATTAATCACTGACTACAGTTTTGTAGTGTGGCTCAAAGGAGTTACAGGATAGAAAAGAGATTTGAAATGTGTGAAACATGTAAATTACATGGAACCATTAACTGTATTACAGTACATTCAAGACTTATGTCTATCTGAGGAAAAGATCTTGGTACACAGGACTTTTCTCCTCACTGAATATATTGAGTCCATTACAGTTCAGACCTTCCCAGACCTGATCTTACAGCTATTTTAGTCCTCGATCAACAGTTATTGACTGAAGTGAAAACACTGCTTTCTCATCTTATTTCATTCTTAGGCTCTTGTTAGTTTAAATAGTCTATGCTGGATAACTTACTTTAGCTTGGAAATGACTTAAAGCCACCTCCTTTCTCTAACTCTACTAGGAAAAAAAACACTTACCCTGAATTTCAACAGTTGGTAGCTAAAACACTATACAAAGTACTGCTCCTACCATCCAAGTGAGAACTTAACTAAAATTGTGTCTGTAGAAACTCCTGTGTCTTGGAAAGTGATGTGAAGTTCCAGGTTATCCCTCTTCTCAGACCACATCTTCTAATAGCTCCTACTCTGGCTTTATTCTCCAAATATGCAAGAATGGACAGAGAACTGCCATATATCCCTCCACCCCATTCGGATCTTCTAGTTGTTCCAATAGTGTCTTCATAGCAAGGCTTCCAACCCATTTGGTATTATATGTTTAGTTTTTAGTCTGACACAGTTCCTCAGTTTTTCCTTGACTATTACAGCCTTGATATTTGGGTTATTTGTAGGTCCCTGGTGATATTGATAAGGGCAGGGAAGGCAGAGGCTGGGTTGAATGAGGAGTGAAGACTTAAAGAGCTTGGTTGTGAAGGCTGCAGAGAAATGGCATGGTGGCTGCAGAAGGATGTGGGTTCAAGGGCCGGGTGTAAGTGAAACTGCAGCATCGCTGACGGTGCAGAGTTGGCTGCATTCTGTACATCTATAAATTGACCTTTGGTGTGAGCAACAATTTGCTTCCCACTTTTGTTTTCTGGTGACTTCTGCCTTCTTCCTAAGTGCCATGTGAAGCATGAGCACTTTTAATGATGGTAAAGAAAAAATTTACACCTTCTTTACTCCATGTTAACATCACATGTCTGATCATTGTGGTTCTCAAACCACTTTCTCTCCTACCCCTGAGCTCAAGTTTAGACCACAGATTTGTCCAGCAGTGCCTTTGGGCAGCTGTGTACTTATTATGCTTGGCACATGAGCCAGTCATAGCCCTCTCTTAAGTGTTTTTGAGGCACGGGCTCTTTTTCTCTATTCACTTTTGGCTTGGAAGATGAAAAGGAGAAAACGTTTTTCATTTATTTATACTTGAGTGAGAAGGTATATGAGCAGAAATCTGAAGATTTTGAGGAATTTGAGGGTTTCAGCTTCAAACTGGTATCCAGAGTATTTCTTGATGTTCAGGTTTGAAGACTAAAAATTGTTTCAGAAGCTCTAAGGTTTTCTTTAACATTGCTTATTCAGAAACAAAGGTCTTTTCGTCTCTAAGCACTCAACAGATATTATTTTGATCTATGACTTTTTTTTAATATGGGGAGATGCTTGTTGCTCACTGTGAGAGTCATTAGCTGGCAGGCAGAGAAAGCTCTTAGAAATGAGAACGTTTTGATCACATTGGGGTCCTGTCACAGGGATTCTTGAAATTTTAAGTAGGAAGGAAACTGTTACTTGCTGTGAACAGATACTCAAAGCAGCATTGTCAGCAAGACACTTCATTAGCAAATTGCTTCCAAAAGGTTGATGGGTGTGAGAACTTTAAAAGAAATTTTAAAATGCATTGAAGTCTGGGTTTTGCAACCTGATCTTTAATTCTAGCAATCTCCAGGGGGAGCAAAACTCTAAATTACTTAAAACATTTTCCTGTATGCATTGAAAAGTAGACACATGCATGGGAATTTTTTATCTTAGAAAAGGCAGCAGAAGCTCTGTGCTTCAAGTTTAGGTAAACCACCCCTTACTGTAAACTACCCAGTGGTTTATTAACAGCCCCATTTGTTGAGTATCACGGTGGAGAAGTGTGGGCAATGTTGGATACCAGGCATTTTAGTGACTTTCCCATTTAATAGTCATCATTCCATGAAGAGGTACTCTTATCACTCACATTTTACAGCTGAAAGCTGAGGTTTCCAGAGAATAGTTGACTTTGTCAAAGTCACAATAAATTTCAGCAGCAGAGTTTGAATCCACATCTGGCTAACTCCAAAACCTGAGACTGTATTTACCTCTCCCCTGTTCCTATGGTATAGAACTTTGATAACGGCAAAATTTTCTCTTGGTTCATTGATTTAGCAATGGAGTTTATCAACATAACCCTCACTCTGATTTTCATAAGCATCCTAAGCTAGGATTAGCGTCTGCCTCTGACTTGTTCATAGTTTCTTAAAACTGATGACCACATTTCCAGGAGCAGTAGTGGAAGGGCAGTTGCTGCTCTTGCATCCGCAGCACCTGGTAACATACTGGGGTTAGGTGACTTTGCTGAACCCTTTAGTCAAGGAGAAACTCTAAGAAAGGCTGTTGATTTGCAACAGTTAGATTTTGGCATTGGCCAGAACTCCTGAAATAGAGGTAGGCTGAATTACTGAGTACAAGGAATTAGGAGTTCCTTTTGGCCTGGTCTCTACTGACTTCCAGGTACCACGGGCCTTGTGATTATGTTGGAAGAACTTAACGAGTAATGAAGAGAATACTGGGAAAAAGAAGAGAATGATACAGAATCTGACTTTATTCTTCTCTCTTCTCCCAACTTTAGTGGGTATAGTGAAATTGAACTATGTGAGCTGTCTTCTGGGCTCCTCCATATCCGCTCTCCACCCTCCAGCCCTGCTGTGAACGTAGCAACATGTCCCCTGCTCTCCGGTTCCTGGCTGGGTTTGGATAGTGCAGAGCCCCCTAGGAAATTGGAGAGAGGGAGGCACAGAGGTCAGATACTTTTCCTTTGGCTCCCTCCCTTCAAGGTCACCTTGGGCCTGCTGTGTCCCTCAACTAAAGGTAACTTGTTAAGAGGACCTCTGCCCAATTCTCTGCTGATTTCCAGTAGCCATTCCCTTACCTTGTCCCTTTGGGCCTAATGTGTTAACTATGCCTGTGGTTTTCCTATTCTTTACTCACATTTGTAAATGGTCTTTATTAAACCCTTCTCAGGTTGTGATTTGAGCATGCCATCTGCTTAACTGTTGGCACTGTTAACAGTAATAGGTACCAGAAACAGCCTCAGGAAAACTGACCTTCAAAATTCTGCTCTGGGATTAGGTGGACATAGATTTGGAGAATACAGGGCTGACATCAACCCTGTGGGGGGGCAGTGGAACATGAGTAAACTGGTGTGTGGTGACACTACACTTACTTAAACTAATGAGAGTGTGGTAGAATGGAATGAAGTACAGTTAGTCGGTGAGACTTTTGATAGATGAGGTGTTTGTTGTTACGGCAAGTTGTGACTCAAGATTTGCGGACACCATACTTCCAACAGCCCTGAGAAGGTACATAGGAAAAGAAAAAGTAAAAGCCATGAACACAAAAGTGAGACTCTTAAAGAGCTAGAGCAGCTCCACGGCATCTTTGAAGGGGGTCTCATCCTGTGGTCATGGAGCAGTTCTGGGACATTGGTTGTGAGGGCTGCACAAATGTAGCACCAATTAGATGCTCAGTTCTGCTACATCTGTAAGGGAACTATTTGGAAAAGGAGATGGCATTTGGGATGGAAACTTTGAGCGTCCACATTTTCCTAGACCTGCACTGCCTGTGGAGGCAGGCCACGCCACCCACTACTGCCTCTAGGACTATAGCCAGAATTAGATCCCAGCATTTCCTTGTGCAGGGTTACAGGGCCTGTTCCAGGAGGAGAGCTATAAATGAAGGAATTTTAAGACTTCTCTGATCTATTGGAGGAGCCTAGAGAGCATTTGTGGAAGAAGGTCCTAAGTGTGCTAGACTAACAGGGTTGTAAACCCAGCCAGGTACCCCTCTTGCTCTTACATCTAGTAACCACTTGGGCTGTGTTTGCATGCCATCCTAGAGGCCTTGGACTTTTCTTCCTCCCATGTATTTTATTTTGAAAAACTTCAAACCTATGAAAAAGTTGTACATATAGTAAAAGAAACATCCTTATTATATATCTTTAACCTATCTTAAAATTCTTTTTTGCTGAGCTGTTTGAAAGTAAATTTCAGATGCATACATATATACATACATACATGAACATGTACTCATACATACTAATACAAATCAAACGTTTTACAGTTTGAAAGTAAACTGTAGGTACTACTTCACTGGTAAGTACTTGAGTATGTTCACAATGTTTTATGTAAGTTGTTTCTTGTCTCCCTTTTCTCTGAAATAGTTACATAGATAATACTGATGTTGGCTAAAGTTTTAGGTTGAGGTGGGAATATGAGAAAATACATCAACTTGCAATGCCATGGTCATTG